TTTACCCAAAATCAGGCAAAGCAGGCAGGCAGATTGAGTTGCTCACAGAATTACAGATTTTCTTAGAGGTCTGTGTTTCTGCCATCAGTTAGCTGAGTCTGCACTGCTTCAGTCCTAAGGAAGGTTCGGCTTTGCTTAAAAGCAGAGTCGAAGATCTAAATATTATCTAGAAAGCAAGAAATCCAATGATTTCCTGCTTTCTTGCTAATCTAAATCTCCCAGCACAGCAGAACAGCTGATGGTCGGGAAAAGGAAAAATAGTAACTTAGCAGGGAAATTTGCCAGGTAAGGAGTGAGTGGGCGGGGAGGGCAGGCCATATGGGTGGTGCAGCCTTGTGTTCCTGAGCAGCCTGGATTAATTGTTTTGGGGGTATGTGCTCTGGGGGTGACATTTCTCTGCGGACCACCAAAACTTTCTCGCGGCCCATCGGTTGGTAACCGCTGCTCTAAATCATAGTTTAAATTTGGTTGGTTTCTAGATCTGTGGACCTCAACTCCAAGAATTTCTGCATTAGTTTGACTATTACTGAAAATTCTGGAAATTAATATCTGCATATGGAAGTTGCTTAAGTCAAAAAATACTGATAAACATTATCTCCCTCGCAGGCATGCTGCTGAGTGCTATAACCTATCAATAATTTCAGTTGTTCTTTTCTTTAGTTTGAGTAAATGTGCAATATCCTTGTATAGTGATTTACAGTGACTGTGACTGATCAAAACATGACATGATATTCTAGATGTGATCATAACAAAATTATGGAAAGATATGACTTACAGTTTTATCTCCATTTCTTCTCTCTGAATTATTTCAAATTGTGCCTTTTTATTTGGCAATTGCACTTTGGAGATCCATTTTCAAAATTAACTTTTTGTTCTTAATTTTTAAATTATACAAAAAGCAAAATACAGTTTCTTAAAATTGTAATGGGAAGTTTGAACAATATAAATTTGTTGGAGGCTTAATTATGTGCTAAAATTTGAATTAAAATAGTTTTACTTGCCAAAAAGAAAGGTTTATCTTTGGCATAGTGAAATAAGTTGAATTATTAAAAGTTAAAATTGGAATTTTAAATGGTGTGAAACTTCATATCTATCTGGAGACTATTTTAATTCTCACATTAAATTTGTTCTTTCTTGCTATCTTCATTAAGGTCTGCTCCAGCAACAAAATAAATACTGCTCCAGCAACAAAATATTTGAAAAATATATTGCTGTATTGAAACCTTTGAACTAAGCCAGTTATTTGTTTTATCAATTAATAAAATTTCATATTTGATTGCATGAACATTTTTGCTATATTTTTTCAATCAAAACTTTCTGAATCATTAGATTGTTTAATGTCAATTTTTAATACAGTCAAAGATACCTTTAAAAATGCCTTGGAAAGAGTAAATGTTACTCATCGGTTAATAACTGTAGTTATATAATCATCAGTTATAACTGTATGTGTAATCATTTTTATCAAAAATTCAGTTCTTTGTTTTTTTACAAGACCTTTGCCAGATAGATAATCGTTATTTTTTATTATCAGTTCTTTATAGAACTTAATGTTGTTTTAGGCAAATCGTTGCTAAAAGCGGTTTTTTAATTCAGTGTTGGAATTCAAATTTTTTTACTACTGGTTCTGTGAGCATAGCTTAATGGGCATGGCATGGCTTGGTGGGCATGGCTTGGTGGGTGTGGCAGGGGAAGGATACTGCAAAATCTCCATTCCCTCCCCACTCCAGGGGAAGGATACTGCAAAATTCAATTCCCTCCCCACCCCACTAACCTGCTTTCCAGCTCTGTTCTCCTGTGCAGGGCAACAAAAGAAGACTCAGCCAATCAGTTGAGACTTGGGAGGCAGAGAATAGATGGGGGTGGGGGCCAGTCAGAGGTGGTATTTGCCGGTTCTCCAAACTACTCAAAATTTCCACTACCAGTTCTCCAAAACTGGTCAGAACCTGCTGAATACCACCTCTGGTTTTAATATACGATTTAACTTGTTTTTTCCTTAACAAAAAAGAGACAGATCTTCAAGGAAAGTTTATAATTTAGTTAATTATCAAATTCATGCTTTTAAATACAAAAGATTCACTGTTTAATCCTAGCATCTATATGTAAGAGTCCTGTCTAAATTGAAAGTCATTGCACATCCATGTTAACAGTAGTAAAGTAAATGAGAAAAAATCAGCAAAAACCTGGTAGCAGGTTTGCTGACTATCACATTTATTAAAACGCATAAGGATTAATTAGCTCAGTTCAGAAGTTAAGACAGCAAAGGTAGATTTTCTGTGTCTGCTCTGTGTCTGCTTAGTTCTGGGATTTCCCTGCCCTGCTGAAATAAAATGCTATAACATCTAGCTGCCATTCCACCATTGTAGCAAAAGAAGAATATGGGAAAGGATTAGTTACTACTTAGCTTCTGCATTTTGTACTTTCCCAGAGGCAGTGCTAGCAAGCTGAAAAGTCGGTGAAGATCTAGCAGAGAACTGCACAGTAGGAGGCAAAAATGGCAGCCATTTAGACATCCTCATTGGGGTTTTGTCTCTGTGTGCAAAGCTAATCAATGTTCTATTCTTCTAAAGGATGCCTCTGATAAACATACTGTTATGTTTGGAGAATAATGGAGACCAGACATCTGACCAGTGACTTCAAACTCTTTAATAACAGTGGATAGAACAGAACAGAGCAAGGCTATGGGCAGCAGTAACCCTTTTATAGGGTTGGCTGCTACCCTATTAACCAATAATATGTGCAACAAGTTCAACTAATACCCAATAAGAAGTGTCCTAATATTGGCCAATCAGGGACTTGTTATGGACCAATCCTTGTTTGTTGTTTAAGGACCAATCAGGTGTGCAGGCTTCCAAAACCCGCTTTGCATTTGGGCTTAGTTACTTTTTATT